TTCACATTTGTTACTTTCTCTGTCCAGGGTATTCTTAATATTCTACGATACATCCACAACTCAAATCGTTCTATCTTTTTAGTATCGATCTTTTTCAATGTCCATGTTTCCATCCCGTAGAGGAGAACTGACATAACGTAACATCTCAAAAGGCGAATTTTAAGTTTTAGACTTAGATCTCTTCCGCAGAACACCTTTTTCAATTTAGTAAATGTGGCTCTAGCTTTCTCTATTCTGGTTCTGATTTCTTCAGAGCAATCATTATTTTCGTTGATAACAGTTCCCAGGTAATTATATCTTCTTACACGTTCGATTCTTTGATCATGCACGGTTATGTCAGGGAAGTTTTGTGGTGATTTAGATATTAGCATTATTTTTGTTTTGCTTATGTTAAGTGATAATCCGTGTTGTTCACTGCATTCTACTATTTTGTTAATTAGTATTTGAAGATCTTCCCAAGTTTTTGCGATTAGTACCGTGTCATCGGCATATCTCAAGTTGTTTATTCGGATGCCATTTATCTTAATACCTATATTTTGATCCGAAAGTGCTGTGTTTATAATGTCTTCGGAGTATAGATTGAATAAGGTCGGTGAGAGTATACAACCCTGTCTTACGCCTTTCTTGATCTCGATTTCCTCCGTTGTCTTTTGCTCTATTCGGATATTTGCTTTCTGGTTATAGTAATTCCTAGAGATAATTCTAATGTCCCTTTTATCCAAGTTTTTTTCTACTAGCAGTTTCATTAAGTGATCGTGACGAACTTTATCAAACGCTTTGTTGTAATCAATAAAGCACATATATATATCTTGGTTTATATCTAGACATCTTTGGCATATGACGTTAAGTGCAAATAGTGCTTCTCTTGTTCCAAGCCCGTTCCGAAATCCGAATTGAGTATTACTAATATCTGCATCTAGTTTTCTGTTAATTCTTGAGTGGATTACTTTGATGAATACTTTTAATGTATGTCCCATTAAGCTTATAGTGCGGTAGTCAGTGCACTGTTTTGCATTTACCTTTTTTGGTAAGGTTACAAAAGTTGAAAGTAGCCATTCCTTTGTATTTCTCCTCTTTTGTAGATGCAGTTAAAAAGTCGAGTAGAATATTCACTGATTCGCCTTCCACAAGCTTAAGACGTTCTGATGTGAGCCCGTCTGGACCCGTGATTTACCATTTTTCATTATTTTTATAGCGTATAATAGTTCTTCTTTAGTTATTTCTGGTCCTTCGTCGCCTTGCAAGTTATCTACAGGGTGGTCCTTAAGTAATTGTACAAAAAGAAACCGCAGATTCTACGCTTTAAAATATTACGATTAAAGTCAACTTGCTTTAATAAAATGTTGATATTAAAAAAGATACAGGGTGTTAAAGTGGAAATTTAAAATTTTATTTTTCGCTATAACTTTCATGTTTGTAAACATTTATGTATAAAAATTTACAACTGGGTACTATTTAATATTAGGAATTATAATTTGATGCACACTTTGATATAGCCAATAGAGGGCGCCACATATACCACATACGTGGCATACATTTGCACTTAACTTTTTTGTTCTTTAAGTTAGCGGTATTTTTGATAAAAAATATTAAAGATACATTATTTTAACAAAGAAAAGGTATACTTGTTAATAACTTCAAAACTTAACAGTTTTCGAGATAATCGCATTTTACAAATCAACTGCATAATTCTGATTTAACGCAATTACTCCAGGCAATGAAATAAAAATAGATAAAAACATCAATACTTCTAAATTTTGTTATAAAATTCCTTTAATAAAGTTAATAGTTAACGAGATATTAAATAAAATAAATATATCAGCAGGATAATTAATAATAGAATTCGATAAAATAACAGAATAATTGGATTTTACATTAAACATTTTACGTTTTGTATTAAATTAAAGTCATAATCAAATCATTTTATTTACAAACCAAATTAAGAAATTGTTAAACTAAATAACATTAAACTTTTTGTCAAAGTAAGTGTTCGATGTGTCCACCATTTTCTTTAATTCATTTATTAATGCATTCTATAAAATATTGTCTCATGTTAAATAGCATCATTGGTTCTAAAGAAACAGCTGCAGTACTTATTATAAGTAGGTATAACAATAGGTATTCGTTTGGGATTTTTATGAAGTAAATAATTATATTAATATCTTACCACATAATCAAGGAATATGACTATCACGAACAATCCAACGTTCAGGAAAGTTTTTTTTAAATACTCTCACTCCCCTTTCTCTGTAATGTATTGGTGTACCATCTTGCATAAACCAAATATTTAGCCTTATGTTGATGACAATTCTTCCAATAAATCAATAAAATCATTTTATAAAAATCTAAATAAATCTAACCATCCAAATTGCAAGGTAATTCGCATATCAATAAAATATCATACAAAATTCATATTTAAAATGCATGTCCTATGGTTTGGAATCATTGGTAATTATTTTTACGGATATGCGAATTACTTTGCAATTTGAATGTCGAGATTTATTTACATTTTTTATAAAATTATTTTATTGATTTATTCAAAGAATTGTCATCAAACTTAAGGCGAAATATGTGGTTTCTATAAGATGGTACACCATTACGTTACAGAGAAATCGGAGTGGGACAGTGTTTAAAAACAATTTTCCTGAACGTTAAATTTTTCGTGGTAGTCATATTCTTGTGGTAGATATTAATATAATTATTTAATTCATAAAAAATTCAAAAAATTACTTATTATTATATGTATAACACTTATAATAAATACTGCAGCCGTTCTTTAGAACCAATGATGCTATTTAATATGAGACGATATTTTATGGAATGTATTGACAAATGAATTAAAGAAAATGGTGGACATATTGAACACTTACTTTGACAAAAAGTTCAACGTTATTTAGTTTAACTATTTCTTAATTTGGTTTGTAAATAAAATGTTTTAATTATGCCTTTAATTTAATACAAAACGTAAAATGTTTGATGTAAAAATCCAATTATTCTGTTATTTATCAAATCCTGTTATTTTATCCTGCTGATATATTTATTTTATTTAATAATTCGTTAACTATTAACTTTATTAAAGGTATTTTATACCAAAATTCAAAAGTATTTATGTTTTTCTTTAATTTTCTTTCGTTGTCTGGAGTAATTGAGATAAATCAGAATTATGTAGTTGATTTTTAAAATGCGATTATCTCGAAAACTGTTGAGTTTTGAGGATATTAAGAAGTATACATTTTTTTTTGTTAAAATAATGTATCTTTAATATTTTTAATAAAAATACCCATAACTTGAGGAGCAAAAAAGTTAAGTGCAAATATATGCCACATATGCGGCATATATTTGCACTTAACTTTAGCATATAAGTATACATCAAATTAAAATTTCTGATGTTTAATACTACTTAGTTGTAAATTTTTATACATAAATGTTGACAAACATGAAAGTTATAGCAAAAAATAAAATTTTAAATTTCCAATTTAACACCCTGTATCTTTCTTAATATTAACATTTTATTAAAGTAACTTGAGTTAAATCGTAATATTTTAAAGTGTAGAATCTACGGTTTCTTTTTGTACAATTACTTAAGGACCACCTTATATTAGGTTCTTGTCTTTCATCGTCGAACAATTCTTCTACATAGTTCTTCCAGGTCCTAAGCTTTTCTTTACATAAAGTATTGTCAAACAATTACAATAGCAGACTTAAGTTCTCCATTCAACAATACAGGATAGTTTGAACCATGTTCTTCCAAACATCAATTATTAGAGTACCGGCATGTAGTTTTATTTATTTGTTCATTTATTAATTTATTACAATTTAATAGACTATTTTATACCAATTTGTGGGTCATGTCTTGTCTGCTTAAACATTTTATTTATTTTGAAAAACCACAGACATGTAATATTGGCATAATTACTGTAACTTATATCATCTATCTTTGTTTATCTTTATTAGACAACACCTTAGGTCGTCTGGATAGTTAAATTAAATTGATTGTAAGTAAGTCTTATTTATTATTTCTTTTACCTATTTGAAATTAACTCACACAAGCAACACATTCATGATTTCTTCATTTAGTTAAATAATATCTTTTCTTCGCGCAGCGAAAAAGAGTTGAATTTGCCACTAGATAGACAACTATACGTACATATTTAATGTCGTCTGAACATCTTTTTGTCTTTGACTTTCTTCTGATATTAACGGTATGTCTGTATTGAAAAACTCTTGTATTTACTTTATACGTATTACAGTTAAGAGAATGACATAAGAAAGTATAAAGAAAAGAAAAAAAAATCAAAGTGAACCAAAGAATATAGGTGAAACTCTTAGAAACCGAAGTGTATCCAATTTGACAATTATTAACAATAGCACAACATTGTGATAGAGTTTCGCATGCCAGCAATAAAGTTTTTAATATTGTTTTGTAGAATAGCCACAGTATACCTAATAACTGTTAGGTTAATATCCTTCCATTCAAATAAGTGATTCAATTGATTTGTTTTCGACCGATGAGAGTCATTTCAATAGGCTAATTTAAACTCGATGGGCTCCATATACTCTCTATTTTAAACATTTTTGAATACGCCACTAGGTAGGCAACTTTATATACACCTTCAATTTCGTCTTCGACATCTTTTTGTTTTTGCCTCTCATCTTATATTAACGGTACCTGTATATATGTCCTTTTTACTACTGATCATTTTCTATTTCCTTCTCTTGTTCTCAGACTATAAATAGTAAACATATTACTGCTTCACTTTTTTCCCTTCTTCTGAATAAAGGTTCTGTCTTATTGATCCTCCTTGGACTCTTGTCTTATTAGAGATCCACGTATTAACAATTTCATATCTTTTGCGGCATTTTTAGTTTATCTACGCTGCTTTTTGTAATTAGGAAGGTTTTCAAAACTTAGGTCATAGTAGGAAAAACAAATTGTGAATAATTTTGATTTTTGTTGGCTTTTTCGTCTTCAACCTCTTTTTTGAGAGATGGATTAACAAATGCGACGGTTACTAAAGAAAGAGATCCAAAAATTATGTGACGAAATACAATTATTGGGTCTGAGTGAAAAAAACAAAAGGCACAGGGAAGATCAAGTTAACAGGTAACTACATATTACATTTTTCGGGAGTGAATGCTGACCAAAGAGAAAAGAATCAGAAATCGGGTGAAATCACAGACTAGTATCGGCAAAAAAAAGCGAATACAGTAAAATTGCAATTTACAAGCTGAAAGACACAGACAATAGTAATAAATTTCAAAAAGAAACAGATCAAGAGTTCGCAAGACTAAAAAAGAGCAAAGACGGATAGATACTGGAAGAAAGATGAAAGATGGAAAGATTTAGGGAAATTACTAAAAAAGTCAGAAGATATGTGAAAAAAAGAAAATACAATAGAAAACTTAAGATAGTAAAACGGTGGAACTTGGGCGTTAAACATTGAGTGTAGCAAAGAAACAAGCACGGGAAATATAGTGGTGGAGAGGATAAATTTATTACCAAACTTTCCACATTTTATAAAGACGTAGTTGAACACCTAATTGCTTCAAAATATGTAAGGACCTTCTTCTTCTTCAAGTACCTTCTCCGCTACGGAGTTTGGCAATCATCAGTGCTATTCTTATCTTTGAAACTGTTGCTTTAAATAATTGGTTAGATGTGCACTTGGACCAGTCTCTTAAATTGCGCAGCTAAGATATACGTCATCTCCCACGCTTCGTTTGCCCTGAATCTTTCCTTTTATAATTAACTGCAGCAATCGGTACTTTTTCCCTCTCATCACACGAACAAGATATTCCGGCTTTCTTCTCTTGATGGTGATCAACAGCTCCCGTTCTTTGTTCATTCTTCGAAGAACTACACTATTTGTTATTTTGTCTGTCCAAGGTATTTTCAAAATTCTTCTATATATCCAAATTTCGAAGGCCTCCAGTTTATTCGATATTGCTCTTGTTTAAAGTCCAAGTCTCTACTCCGCACAGCAGTATCGAAAAGATGTAGCATCTAACCAATCTCATTTTCAGGTTTAAGTTAATATCATGACTTCTCAGAATGTCCTTCATATTTACAAAAGCAGCTCGAGCCTTTCCAATTCTAGTTTTATTTCTTCTGTGATGTCATTGTTGTTAACACCTGTTCCCAAGTATTTATATTTGTGCACCGTTCGATTTCGTTAATGTGAATGTACAGGTTTGCATTCAATCTTTGTCTTTTTGAAATTATCATAAATTTCGTGTTCTTGACATTTATTGTTAACCCTTTCTCTTCACTAGCTATGACTACCTTGTTTAAAATGGCTTGCAGGTCTTCTTCTGTCTCCGCCATATAAAACCGTATCATCTGCGTATCTAATATTATTAATTAGTTGGTCGTTAACTTTTATCCCAATATCTTCTTCCTCCAATGCTTTCTTCATAATTTCTTCCGAATAGAGATTAAATAGTATTGGTGACAGCACACATCCTTGTCTAACTCCTTTTTTAATTTGAATTTCATTTGTTGTGCTATTTTCGATGCGTGCAACTGCCTTCTGATTATAATACAGACTAGATATTATTCTTATATCGCGAGTGTCTAACTGTTTAGCTTTCAAGATCTCTAAAAGTTGGTCATGCTTGACGTTATCAAACGCCTTGTTGTAATCAATGAAATAAGCAAATACATCTTGATTCACATCCAAACACCTATGTGTCAAGATGTTAAAGGCAAAATAATGCTTCGCGAGTTCCATATCCCTTCGGAATCCAAACTGAGTTTCTCCGATATCTTCTTCCAATTTTCTGTATAAATTCTATTGTGAATTATTTTGAGGAATATTTTTAAGGTATGGCTCATCAGACTGATCGTGCGATGATCACTGCACTGCTTAGCATGTGCCTTCTTGGGAAGAGGGACAAAGGTTGTTCTTAGCCATTCTTCAGGAATTATACTGTTTTCAAATCATGAATGTGTTGCTTGTGTGAGTCCATTTCAAATAGGTAAAGAAATAATAAATAAGACTTACTCACAGTCAATTTAATTTAACTATCAGACGACCGGTTTCGCTTTCAATACAATATGCAAAGCATCTTCAGGTCTCGATACAAAGTTAAATAAATGCTGAAATGATAAAAACCCATATTAGGGTGTTGTCTAATAAAGATAAACAAATTATATGTTGTAAATTACAATAATTATGCCAATATTACATGTCTGTGGTTTTAATTTCAAAATGAGTAAGTTGAATAAAAAGGTATAAAAAGTTTGAAAAGTTTAAACAGACAAGGTAAGACCCACAAATTGTTATAAAATAGTCTATTAGATTGTAATAAATTAATAAATGAGCAAATAAATAAACATTACTTACATGCCGGTACTCTATTAATTAATGGATGGTAGAACATGGTTGAAACTACTATGTATTGTTGAATGGAGAACTCAATTCTGCTATTGTAGTTGTTTGACAGTAAACGGGAAGTTCTTGAGGAGATATATTTGATCCAATGAAGCAGAGATATGTGTGTGATTGTTTGTTAAGTGAAAGTGATGTTATATACCATTGTATTATTTAAAAGTTATTTATACTTATTCGAGAGATGTGTTATTTATTGAGTAATTGTTTTATGAAGGTCACAGTTTTATGACAATGAATAAGTTTGGATGTACAAATTGTGTGAGTGTGCAATTATTTTTCAACTTGTAATTATCAAATTTCTTTGATAAAGTTCTATTGGCAAAATAGTAGATTATTGCAAAGTCGAGTAGGAAGGACTTTTATGCACTACATCTCAGTCTTGGGCACAATGAGTTTTTTATAATGTTATCTATTAGATTTTAGTGGTAAATTTGACAGATGTAGGTTAGCATGTGACAGTTCTTCTTCTGTTTCTCAATACTGTAAGTTAAGTTATCTAGTTTTATGAAATATGCTGATATTAATGAATGTCTATAAAGTGTTTCAATTAAGATATCAAAAGTAAATTGATGTGTTTAATATTGGCATACTTTAACAATCTTTAATTAATTAAATTTAAATGTAACAATACGAATATTGAAATACATCCCACATTATAACTAACTCAGTCCAATGTCCAAATTATTAATATGGGTTTTTATCATTTCAGCATTTATTTAACTTTGTATCGAGACCTGAAGATGCTTTGCAAATTATAGAAAGCGAAACCGGTCGTCTGATAGTTAAATTAAATTGATTGTGAGTAAGTCTTATTTATTATTTCTTTACCTATTTATACTGTTTTCATAAATCTTGTTAAATAAGTCTACTAACAAACGGATTCGATCTTGGTCTATCAACTTAAGTATATCCGCTGCTAGCTCGTCTGGTCCTGGAGCTTTGCTATTCTTTGATGACTTCACCGCTTGCATTACTTCTTCTTTGCTTATTTCTGGACCTGTCTCCTCTGGAAAATTATTACAAGGAGGCTGCCTTTGATCGTCAAACAGTTCTTCCATGTATATCTTCCATGTTTTAATTTCTCCTCTGTTTCCATTATCATGTTCCCTTATTAATCTATAAGTACTGTCTGCTTCCTGTTTCTATTGTTAATCATTTCTTTAACTTTCTTGTGAAGATAGAACGAATCATATTTGGCTTCCAAGTTTTCAATCTCCTTACATTTGTCTTGTAACCATTGCTTTTTAGCGTCGCGGATTTTTCTTTTGATCTCTCTGTTAATTTGCTTATACTGTTCTTCACTTTTACCTTTCGATAGTCTTCTTTTTAATAATGGCCCAGTGTTTATTAATGTCTTGTTCTGGTATCTTCTCTGTCTTTTCAAGATTTGCCTGAATGCTTTTCTACCTGATGTTTAATTGTTTCATCCTTTAAGCAATTGATATCTATTACTTGTTTTTAAATAAATCCAGATATGCGTTCCTTCAAGTCATCTTGCAAGGAAAAATATTTGAAAACGACGTCCAGGAAGACGAAGAACATCTTGGTTAAAGAACCTCAGAATATGGTTCAACACAACATCCATGCAGATTTTCCGCGTTATTGCAGATAAAATAAAGGTTGCCATGATGATCACCAACATTCATAACGGATAGGCACATCAAGTAAAGAAGACCACTATATTTTTTCCCGACTTGTATTTACCGTACATATTTGAAAATGTCCATTACTTATATTTTGATAAGTTTTAATACCTATTTTTTGTGTTTATTTGTCCTATTTACTGCATCTTATCTTCGTAAGTCACTAACGATGACATTCAATTGGTTCATATTCTCTATTTTTACAATGTAATATTCCAGTAATTTTTACTTTGTAGTCTAAATTAGCACTGAAATACAAAACAAGTTTATCCGATCTTATAGCAACACGTGTCTGATATCAATTGTGTCCACAAGACACGTGCCAACTGTGTTAAGTGTGAACGGTCGCTTGCACTTAGTAACGAATAATGTACTAATGGGATTAAAACTGTTACTCGATTAGAAAATTTTAGTCCTCGTCCCAAATACACCATCAACAACTATCAAAAAATATTTATCAGTTTACATCTCACTAAAAACAAAACGTGGAAATCAACTCACAAATTTCAATTCACGTACTTCCTTGCTTGTTTTACTCAAAACCATAAACTGTCTTATTAGTCTAGGCGGGATCTGTTTTAAATTGGAAATTTTCGAGGGAAGCTATTTTTTTGCTGGAATCCCTTCAGGATATGCCCAGTCTCGATAATCACGATATGCGCCAGTCGCAAACCCTGTGCTAAATTTTTTATTTAACAAAATCTGAAAACAATTGAAAATTTCTCATTTTTTTGCTCCTATTTTCATTTATAATTCGAAAAATTATGATCTTAGAAGAAAAAATTATAAGTGGTTAAAAGTTTCGTTATATAAATTTTACACAATATTTTGTTAGCTAGAAATTGAAAATTTAATGGTTATTGTTGAAGAAATAGCAATAATTGGAAAAAAAAGTACAAAAAAATGAAGTTAATCCTTTAAATGTTTTCGACTTTACAAACTTGACTTACAAGTTCCATATTCCGCCTAGAAAAACTTTTTAATATGCTTAAAACGTGTGCTAAATTTTGTTAAGATCGGTCGGATAGGTTTTGCATATTAATTTTGCAATCCAGCCTACTGGAAAA